GAGGGAAACATGGGAGAGAATATTTGTGACTTTGAATCAGGCAGTTTTCTTAGGTCCAATACCATAAAACCTATTTTTTTTTAAGTTGGTAAGTTAGATTTTATCAAAATTTAGGAACTTATCTTCAAAAGATACCCTTAAGAGAACAAAAAGATAAAAGAGAAAATACTTTTGCACCAACAAACGTGTATGTCTGGAATGTATAAAGGAGTCTTAAAACTCAATGATAAGAAAGCAAAAATCAAATTAAAAAAATGGGCAAACGATTTCAATAGACACTTTACCAAAGAAGATACACGGATATGGAAAATCAACACATAGAACGATGCCCAACGTCACTAGTCATTAGATAAACGCAAATTAAAACGAAAATAACATACCCCTGTGCCCTTATTAGAATGGACCTCCTCCCCCCCAAAAGACTGACCATATCAAGTGTTGCAAAAGACGTGGAGCAACAGTCTTCCCACATACTTTGCTGGTGGGAATGCAACACGTACAGCCACCTTGGACAATAGTTTCTTATAAAATTGAGCACACATTTATCAACCCTAGCTATTTAGCTGAGAAACGAACACCTGTATTTACACAAAAACTTGTGCATGAATGTTTGTAACAGTTTGATTCACAGTTGCCCTAAACAGGAAACAAGCAGATACATGTGGACAAATGTGGCACATCCGTGCAACAGAGATGACTCAGCATAAAAAGGGATGAACTACAGAAACGTAGGGGAATCCTCCATGCATGTTGCTGAGTGAACAAAGCCAGACCCCAAAGCTCCACGTTGGATGCACGTATCATATTTTCCACTTATAAGACCTGTAAATGGCAAAACTGGAAGAAGGGATCATAACCCATTGTTGCCAAGGGTGGAGTTGGGGATGGATGGGGTGACTGTGGCAGGAAGCAGAGGGAGCTGGGGCGATGGTGCTGTCCTGTGTCGTGACTCTGTGCCCACCTGTGTCAAGACCCAGAGACTATACAGTACAAACAGGACTGTGCTGTGTAAATTTTTAAGAAATCACTCTGTGAAGGAAACTCCAGTGGAGCCCAAGATATAACAAACAAACCTAACGGTCACAAATGGACAATGTACTAGAGGAAAAGAGCCAGACTATGTCATTCTGGAAAACAATATTTGGTCTGGCGACTATAAGGCTAAAGATAAAAGGGACTCTGCACTCAAATGTCTCCTCGCTGGTAAACTTGCTCCTCACAGGGGATGTGGGTTAGCAATTCTGAAATGTCCTTGTGTGGATACTAGGGTGGGGCAAATAAGTAACACAGTTTATATGGAGAGAGCCACATCTCCAAAGAAACTAGTTACAGATGAGGAAAGCGGGGGGGCAGGAATGAGTCTTGAATGGTTGGCCTTGAATTCCAAGTGTCAGTATGAACTGGTGGTTTTATAACAGACCCACAGATGATAGATGGATAGACAGATAGATGATGGATGACAGATAGATGATAGATTGATAGATGATATATACATAGATGATACATAAATAGATGACAGACGATAGATAAATAATAGCTAGATGATAGATAATAGCTATATAAATACATAGATAGATGGTAGATAGATGATAGATAGATGACAGATGGTAGATAATAGATAGAAGCAGAAATAAACAGAGAAGTGGGGGTATGCATGTATTAGCACACAGATGTCTGTTTCCAAGCTCTGCCCCTGAGAGGGCCTAGAAATACTATCACCCAGGAGTAGCAAACACACCCAGCCCAGAGATGTTGGTTCCTAAACACCATCCTCCAACAGAAGGAACCAGAGCTCCTTGGAGAAGTGGCTGCTTTCAGGCTTGGGGCAGGGAAAATACAGATGAGCTTGAGCATCCGGAGGAGACAGAAAGTGAGAAAGGGCTCAAGACACAGAAGGGAACTCAAAGGACAGAGGCGTGAACCTGTTGGAAAGCTCAGTGGCTTAAGTTGGAACAATCTGAGCAAGAAAATAGCTAAAGGTGGTGTTGGATTATCACCCACAGAATAAATTAATACCCACGAGCCGACACTGCTATGAATAATTGGATAAAGAAAAAATGAGAGAAGGGGGACAGGTCTTCTCCAGAGAAAAATTCTAATAAAATAGAAGGAACGTAGGGATAGAAAACCACGAGAACAGGCAGTAATCACTGTGGCAGGAAAGACCCACTCATGTCTGCTAAAGTTATTGGGCACAAGTTTAAAGAGGATCAGGGTACTTGCTTAGTCTCAAAGTGTCTCTCCCCATCTATTTATAGTTATAAATGATAACTTTTCAGTGGATAACCTGGCAGAACCTTGATCAAGGTTCACATCAGAGGGATACAGTGTAGGGACGTCGTGCCGCCCTGATCGAACACACTCAGAGGGGGTCACCTGGGCTCAGTCTCGCCAAGAATGCATAACCTCAGTCCAATCATTCAAACACATCAGACAAATCAAACTGGAGGACAATCCACGAAATAATCCACCAGCTCCTATAGGGTGCCAAGGTCAAGGATGACGCGGAAGCTAAGAAAACTGTCACCCACCGGGAGGGACCAGGAGAACGACTCAACAGAGTATGGGGTCCTGGAGCAGAAACGCTTGTCTGAACTGAGTGGGTGGCCAGCTAAACTTGGAAAGTGCATTGTGATTCCATGAGATGTGAACACCTGGGGAAGCTGGGTGAAGGGTGTACAGGAACTTTATACTCTAATATTTTTGCAACTTTCCTTTAAATCTGTAACTATTTTACAATAAGAGGTTTTTAAAAAGCTGATGGGGTCTCCCTGGGGGTCCAGTGGTTAAGACTTTGCCTTCCAGTGCAGGGGTTGCGGGTTCGACCCCTGTTCGGGGAGCTAAGATCCCACATGCCTCTCGGCCAAAAAACCAAAACATAAAACAGAAGCAATATTGTGACAAATTCAATAAAGACTTTAAAAATGGTCCACATCAAAAATAATCTTAGAAAAAAAAAAGCTGACGGGAGAAAGGAGGTGCTTGCTTAGGAAGCTGTTAACTTCTCGTGTTGCACGCACTGCACCAAACGTACACCTGACCCTGGCTCCAAGGCTGCTGTGCAGTGTCCCGAGCCGAGACGTGCAGCACAGGTCCGTCCCCGAACTGTGACACCCACTGCCCCCCACCCAGGCTACCCCAACATGAGCACCCGGGAGTTGGTCTGAGCCACCTCTGGGTCTCCAGACCCACAAAATGGCTCTGTCCAAGGGGGCCCCCATCAACGTCCAGGTCCTGGAGGTCTCCGGGCCCCCAGGGAGGCCGTGCCTGCCCGGCGCCCCTGCCTCTGGACCTGTTCTCACGCTCTCAGCCATCCTTATCTGGCTCTGGCTCCTCCACAGGTGAGACCTGCTCACAGCTCTGGGGCACGGTCCCCGGTGCTGGGCACATGGCAAGGCAGACCCCAGAGCCAGGCTGGCTCAGCAGGGGGAAGGCTGCGGGGATGACGCCGATGGGGCAGAGGTGACCCCGCGTCCCGTGCGGGCCTTTGGGGACTGTGGGCAGTGCGTTTTGATTCAGGCATTGCCGTGCCTATGCGTGTCGTTCATTGTCCTTCACCGGCTACAAGTGACCTTTGAGGTCAGGCCGTGACAGTGGATCATCCTTACCAAGCAATCGGACACGCAGTACTGGTGCGTTTGGTACTTTCCTCCACACGATACGGCGCAGCCCAAGGACCTCAGCGCAAGTTCTAAGAGGAGACCCCGAACTCCAGGGACCCCGAACTCTGGGGACCAGGCGTGTTCGGATTTGAGGGCCCACGTGTGGAACTGGGCCGGGGACCAGGCGGGGACCGGGCTCCACTCCAGAACCAGCCTCCAGAGTGATCTTTCTAGCCTGAGGCTATGCCCTGCACCCCTGCGGACGCGGGAGCAGATACTGCCGTGCCTGGGCCCTGCACCAGGCTAACCGCATGCGGTTTCCAGAGATGAGCCCCTTTAGAGGAACACGTGCCCAGACATGCCGCGTGAAAGAGCAAAGTGTCCCGAGGCCCCTTTGAGTGAGCCGGCGGTGATCTCATTCTGGCCTCGCTCTGCATCTGCTCTGCCTCACTCCCTTCTCTGCCCAGTGGTGCATCTCCTGCGGCCCCTGCAGCCCCACTCTTACAGGTTCAGGCGGCTCTGTGATGGGGGGACACGGCACCCCACATCACGCCCTGCAGACTCAGATACAGAACTGCATCCCCACCAGAGCCTCACCACGTCCCACAGAAACACACTTGCCGAGGAGATTCTGCCTGGAGAGGAAGGCTCACTAGTGGAGCATGAAGCCCGTCCAGATCTTCCGTCCCTGCCGTGGGGATGACCCACTCGGCCGCCCCAGGGATGCCTCCGAGCCCTGCGGCAGGGAGAGGAGGTGACGATCTGGGGACACAGGGAGGCCCACTGAGCTGGGAGTCAGGGTCAGTGGGAGGGATGGCTCCACAAGACAAGGTGGGACGTTCTCTCATTTTGGAGTTTGTGGGAGCAGCAAGACGGGGTGGGCGGGGCAGGCCAGCAGAGCTAGGGGTGCAGGGCCAGGGCCCGAGTCCGCAGAAGTGGTCAGGTGCCCTTGAGGAGTTCTTCTCTGCCAGAAGCTGAGAGAGGCTGCCCTTGTAGCTCAGGGATGTGCCCTGGGACCCACCACTGGGCACCTCTGGAGGCCTCGGCTAGCCTTGGCGGGGGGTATCCTGGGTCTGGGCGGAGAAGACCTGTAATGGGTTCAGCACCTCAGACCAGGGAGAAGCCCACGCCAGATGCCCCCAGGGAGCAGACTCCGATCCAGAGGCCATGGTAGGAGGTGAGCCGCCCTCACCCTGCCCCCGCCCACCTGTATAGACACCAGGGCTCCTGCTGCAGGGCCCGCGTCCCAGCAAATTGAACCTACATCTCAAACGGGGCCAACCTCGCCGCAGAGGAGGTGGGATCCCACAGACCAGAAGGAGGTGTGCTGGCGCCCACAGGGCCCACAAAGGGTGGGAAGGAAGACGCCACGCCCCAGGGATGACGGCCGAGCCTCACCTGCTGGGCACCTGGGCGTCGGGCCCCCTTCTCACGTCCGCAGAGCCCCGGGGCACGGTCATCCTCGCTGGGCGCTGCCCATTGAGCGTGCAGGCTGGAGCTCTGCACGGGGCAGCTTTGGCCGCTTGCAGCCTGAGGGGCTCCACGGTGCTGCACAGCCCGAGGTGTCCTCTGGCCCCTGAGTCTCTGACAAGCTCACGCCCCTTCCCAGTCGGTCCATTGCTCTGGTCCCAGCTCCCACTACCAGGCTCCCCAGTCATCCCTTTGGTCAGTCCCTCGGCGCAGCTCAGTGCGGGAAGCTGATGGCATCATGGCAGCCACAGTTCTGTTCCCGCGAGTGACAGCGTCATCAACAAGGCAGGGTGGCAGGATGTGTCGCTCAGTAAGTGCTCAGGACCCCAGCCAGTGAGTCACGGCGTCTTCACAGCCCGTCCGTCCTGGAAGACACGGGGCAACGGTCCTTGAGATGCTCCATGAACCGTCCCCATTTCCCTGAACGAAGGTCACCACCGTGGTGGCAGCTTCATTGCGTCATTTTGCGGGGTGCCTGCGTTGTTTCTGGGAATCTTCCTTTGAGACACCTTTTGGTCATCAAGGGAACAACGGGAGGTGGGAGTTTGGGGCTCCTGCACAGAAGCAGCTCTTCACACCTGTGCAGCAGGGGACTCGTGCGTCCCTGTAACTAGGATTGGGAGGCCGCGTCCCGAGGAAGGACCCCAGGGTCCACAGCCAAGACAAGGTCTCTTCAGAGGAGCCCCAGTCAGAGAACTAGTTCTAATTCTGGCTCATCAAAATGGACAGTCCCCCGCAGAGGTGCTCAAAGACCCCCTTTCTCCCTCTTCCTCGACGGGAGGGGGTATACAGAGCCCAGATCCTCTTGAGTCTTCAGGAATGAGATGCGGCGTCTCCCTCTGCCACCAGGGCACCTGCTGCTCTCTGGTCCAACTGCAGGAAAGGGGTCTGGCTCCTCGGAGGGCTGGAAGAAAAGAGATGCAGGACACAGGTCAGGGAGGCTGCAGGGCGAGAGGGAAGGGCTGGAGGGATGGGGCTATGAGGAAGGGTGGCCCTGCTCCCGAGGGGAGGTCCTCTGAGGGCGGGGGCCACAGACGGAGACGGGATGGTGAGGCCACGCCCTACTTGTTCTCTCATCTTGTCTGGGAAGGAAGTGGTGGTCAAGCTTTCACAGGCGGCCTCGGCCTGAAAGCCGCGGGCACGATGCCACAGTTCAGCACGACTGTGACGTCGTGAGTGAGCCCAGATTGTCGGGGAAAGTGGGCATCTCTGGCTGAATTTCCAGTGTCACCCAAGCTTGTACTTCATAAACGGAAAAGACAAAAAGACACAAAACCACCGGCACTGCTCCCGGCCGAGTTGCCCAGAGCAGAGAACAGGGAGTGGTTTTGTGTGCGCATCTCTCCCCAGCGGAGGTTCCGTGGGAGGGGGTCCTTTGCGTTCCTTCCTTCTCGAGGAAGGCAAGCGCCCCTTCCCCTCTGACGATGGCAGGCCCCTCCCCTCTAGGACCTGGGGGACCCCTGGCTGTCCCCTTCCGGAAGCACCCCCTGCTTACGGAACAGCGGGGGCCGTGCTGGTCCTTACGATGCAGACGAAATACTCACCACGCCAGGGTGCCCAGGAGAGCTATGACCACAGAATGAAAGCTAAGGAGAAAAATAAGAACAAAAATAGGAACTAAAAAGGAAAGGGGAGGGTGGAGACATGGAAGGAAAGAAAGAGAAAAAAGAGTTTGTAGGGCTTTTGGCAAGAAATAACGTGATCACAGACACAGCGACGTGGAGATGCCAGCTGGGGCTCAGGAGCACATCCTGGTGTCCAGTGGTTTAAGGGTTGCGCTGCCAGGGGCCTGAAGCGACGGTGCTGTCCCCTCCCCAGGGACCTTGCACCGTCCACAGGCCAGGCTGCGGGTGACAGTCAGGAGGGAGGCTCTGCTGGTCACTTCGCCTCTGGGGGAGCGGCGGGGACCGGCCATCTGGACCTGTCACCAGGGCTGACGGCGAGGGCGCTAAGTGGCTATAATGGTGACAGGAATCTTACGGAAAGACAATCCAAGTGCCAACAGGCAAACACCACCCTCCGTGATGATATTTTGGTCTCAGTCCCATTATAAGTGATAAAGTACAGCCAACTTGCTGAATAGATTTCACACTTGGAGCCTCATTTTGGGTCGGGGGAGGTGTCCAGCCAGTTTAGACACAAGAGAAAATCTGATGGTGGTACAACTGCTTGGAAAAGCAGAGCTGCTTCAGCTAGATTAAAAGAATAAACACCGAATTTTTAAAATTCTAGTATTTAATACAAACAAATGCTCTCACTTTAAAATGCAAAAGGAAAGAGAGGTTCATTTTGGGGGAGAGACTGCATCGCTTCGAGGTTGCGCGTCCCGCCGGCCTCCCCAGGCGAGCCAGGTGTGTGTCGCCCACGGTCTGGCGCCCATGGGCAGGCACATAATTGCTCCCCGGCTGCCTCTCTGCTTTGCAGGTCGTGCCCCTCACGGTTCTAGGGGCCTGTCACCAGCTCTGGATTTGCAAGTTACCACCAAGACTGCTCGGCAGATGGCAGTAAAGTGGCCAGGGAAGGGGCCGGGTTCATCTGGAGGAGGGGTGGGCGGGGCAGGGGGAGGTCCAGCTGCAGGGGCTGCCGTGGGGAGGGGTCCCTGTGCCCCGCGAGCACAGAGCCTCTGCTAGCTCTGCCCAGGCAGGGCTGAGGACGTGTGGCCTATTGCGGGTGGCGGGTCCTGTCCAGACCCCAGCCTCCCGTTCTCTCTGGCAGGGACAAGCCAGGGAGGCTCAGAGGGGAGCCGGCCTTTGGTGAGATCCACCCCACAGGCAAGACCGGTCACAAGATGCGAACAAGCAGTCTGCCTGCTAGAAGCCATCGAAACGTCCTAAATCACAGACCAAAAGAGCTCAGCTGTCCTAGAACTAAGTACACGCTGCAGGCTTCTTTCTGAGGGTGCTCTGTGCACCCTGATTTGGAAGTTGCAGAGCCAGCCGTCGGGAGAAGAGTTGGATAGTCCTCCCCGACCCCAAGCCACATGGCCCCCAACCAACTGCACCCCAGCACCTGCCGTTTCCAAACTTGGGAGCCACAGTCAAGGAATCACACTAAAGGGACCGCTGGTCGCTGGTCTGCAGGCACCCCGACGGCCGGGGAAACTGAGGCCGTGAGAGGCACGGCCCTCGGGGTGGCACGGCTGGGTTGTCACGGACGGGGTTATTCCCAGACCCTGGGCTCCGGCTCCTTGTCCCGAGCAGACACGTCCCTGAAGCCTCTTTCTGTCCAAAAATACCCCAACCTCAGACCTAGCGCTACATGGCATCCTGAGATACCTGTCCTGTCTTTGTGTGTGAGCTCCGACAACAGAGCAAGCCCCCAGATTCGTATTTGCCTTACCTTTTCCTCCAGTTCCTTTATTTGTCTCTTCTGAGCTTCTATTCTTTCTTCTAGTTCTTTAATTCTCTGCAATGTTAAAAGCAGGAAAATCCTCAATAATCAGAATATTTGGGAAACCAAGTGGGCAAAAGCCTTCCAGGATTTTCACGCATGTTCTTGGTGGGCCAGTCGCCACAGAGCAGCTGCCATGCTGGCCACGGCGAGGGGGCCGGGGCCTCAGGCTGCCCCCCCCGCCGCCGACTTTTAGGAGCCTCGGCTTCGGGAGGAGAGCCAGTGTGCCTGCCTCAGGTTCCGTTACGGACACAGCCTCCCTCTGTCTGCTCTTTGCAACAGCAAGAGCGAAGAGGACAGCTTTCCCCTCGGCCACGCTCCCTGTGACGGGAATGACACCCTCCCACCTCCTACATCTCCAGGTCATAAACCATGATGCTAGAAGCCCAAGGAAATGGTAAGGGCCCAATTCACAGTCTCCAAAACGCCGTTACGGCAGTGAGAGGAGCAGCCAGAAGGGTCACAAAGTCAGTCACGGGGAGGACTCTCCTGGCAAGGCTGACCTCAAGTTTGGAAACTCTAGTCTTCACTTTGGTGAACAATGCCGGGCAGATGGACACGTGTGTGCCCATGCCGGACCTGGATGCCTGGCCTGGAGCCTGGACGCAGCTGAGCTCTGATCAGAGCCCACCTGATGGGAGTGAGGGGCTGCAGGCGGCAGTCCTCACACTGACCACCCCAGATCTGGCAGCGAGAGTCCTGGGAGCTGACCAATGCTCTGGTCAGACATTAGCCCTCTGACATTCACAGTAAACCTGGATTCACTAGTGTATCTGAACACGGAACACAGCCACAAAGGCCACGCCAGCACACACAGTGGAGCTGAGGCATGTCTTACACACCAAGCCTGTCTAGTCTGCCAAGATCCCTCACCCCCAGTTAGAAATGAACTGGCCAGATTGGCCTGAGGGCCCCAAGTGCCTGTAGGCCAAGAGAAGGTCCCCAAGTCCCTAGCCCATGAGCCGCTGTTCCCCAGATGACACCTTCACTGGGATCTTGCCACTGAGGGAGGACCCACAGAAGAGACCCAGAGCGGGGGGGGGGGACCCAGGAGGGGGGCTGTGCCACCCAGACGCCTGGGTGGGATGGCCCAGGAGGCTGGTCTGGAGGGACAGGCAGTCCGGCAGGAGGGTCCCCCATGGGCACGGCCACTGGAGAGCATGGCCATCGGGGGGCACAGCCAGTGGAAGGCCCTGGCCTTGGGGGCATGATCATTGGAGGGCAAGGATATGGGGGCGTGGCCACAGGGAGGGCATGACCTTTGGGCGTGGCCACAGGAGAGTATGATCTTTGGGGCGTGGCCACTGGGGGCATGACCTTTGGGGGGCGCAGCCACGGGAGGGTGCTGTCACCGGAGGTGTGGCCATCAGAGGGCCAGGCATGGGAAGCCCCGCTCCGCCCGGAGGTCCTGCGCCCGCGGCGCCCCTGCTGCGCACCTGCTGCGCCAGCTGCAGCAGCTCCATGCGCTCCCGCAGGATCTGGGCGTCCCGCTCGCGCAGCTCGCTCATGACCTGGCGCTTCCACTGCTCCACCGCCACCCTGAGCTTCTCGCGCTCCTCCTCCTGCAGCATTTCTGCCACTTTGGCCCCAGCTTCCTGCTGCAGGACGTCGTACAGCATGGCTTCCAGCTCCAGGATGTGCTGGGGGCGGGAGGGGACACGTCAGTCCTTGCCTCCTCCTCCGGGGACGGCCTGGGGGACTGGGGCACCCCGCCCTGGGGTCACGCCGCCACCAGGCCAGCCCACAGAGGGGACTGCTTCCGCCTGGACCAGTTAAATGATGTTCTGGAGGCTGGAAGCAGTCCGGGAGTGATTATTTCAAGAGCATTCCCTTCCACGCGATGTTTAACGTGCAGTGAAACATTAGGGACATCGAGGTCAGCAGAGTTTGAGGCCAGAGTCGGATGAGGGCCAGAGGGGCAGTGGGCTGGGCGGGTGTCCCTTGAGGAAAGAACAACAAAGGCTTCTTCCTTTGCTCACAAGCTTCGCCAAACCCTGGGCTTCTGAGTCGCTAAGAAGGAAGGAGGGCGGTGCTCACAGGGTTTGTCTGCAGTAGTGCCGAGGGGCCAGGCCACTAGCTCTGCTGTCCCCAGTGCTGCCTGTGGGGTGACTCGTGTCCTCAAAGAAACATCAAGCCCTAACCCCCAGCACCTGTGAATGTGGATCATGTGGAAATAGGCAGATGCCACCCAGTGCAGGTGAGGTCAGACTGGATCGGGGGCCTCAGTCCACTGACTCGTGGCCTTGGAAGAAGAGGACAACTTGGAGACAGTCACGGAAGATGCGGGGAAGCCATGTGACCACAGGGCAGAGATTGGGGTGACTCAGCCACAAGCCCGGGAACACCTGGGCCCCCAGGAGCTGGAAGAGGCAGGAGGGCCTCCCCTGGAGCTTCAGACGGATGTGGCCCCGCCAGCACCTTGGTGTCAGGCTTCTGGCCTCCAGACTGAGACATACACCTGCCCCACCTCTCCTCCCCTTCTCTCTCCCTGTCTGTCTGTCTGTCTGTCTGCCTCCCTCCCTGCTGCCTGCACATGAGGCCCCACGTGTCCGGTCTCTGCCCGCCTCCCAGCCCCTCCCCTCCTCTGTCCCAAATGATAGCCCTAAGGGTGCCCACGCCCGTGGGTGCCCGTGGGTGCCTGTACCGGCTTAGGGCTTCACCTCCATGAAGCCCTTCAGTCCCGCCCCTTCCAGGAATCAGGTGCTCTTGTTAGGCCCGGCTCACGGGTGAGGGCACTGAGGCAGGCTGATGACTGCCGAGCTGGACGGCCTGCACAGGGCCCTGCTGGTGGGGAGCGGGGTTCAGACTCCAGGGGGGCTCCAGCCCAGGGCCCTCGCGTTGCCCCGCCAGGGCTCCGACGTGGAGAGCCGGCCATTCCGCTGGTCCCCAGACACGCATGCAGTGTCATCCCTTTGCTGCCACCCAGCCGCCAAAACACAGACCTTGTTATAAATTCCTAGTGACTTAGCACTTGGATCTGGAGCACTTTTAAAGCTTGTTCCTCAGGAAATTTCACAGATACAATCTTTGCAAAAGCTATATTCTTCCCATCTTCCCATCAAAAATGTAACCTCTTCAGAAATGAATGTTTCTCCTTCTTCAGGCAAAATGACTATGGAAAGTCCTTTTGGCTGAGTAGACATTTTAGGAAATGGGGGGGGGGACCTTTGTTCCTCGCTTATGTGTTATTATTGTTCCTGACGGCTACAAAATAAACCGTCCCCAGCTGTCACTGCCAGCTCACACAGCACATCGGCTGCCACTTCCTAGAGCAAAAGACCTTAGTGTGTTTAACATACGCTCCAGCTTTAAAATAAAGGCAGCTGAGGGCTTCCCTGGTGGCGCAGTGGTTGAGAGTCCACCTGCCGATGCAGGGGACGTGGGTTCGTGCCCCGGTCCGGGAGGATCCCACATGCCACGGAGCGGCTGGGCCCATGAGCCATGGCCGCTGAGCCTGCGCGTCCGGAGCCTGTGCTCCGCAGCGGGAGAGGCCACGACAGCGAGAGGCCCGTGTACCACACACAAGAAAAAATAAAAAAAATAAACGCAGCTGAGTGTGGGGCTTAGAATTAGCATCACGATGGCTTAACCCCAAGACTGGCAGGAGATGGAGATGTTCTGACCTTCCCTGCATGCATGACCTTGAGCGACAGGCCACCGGATGCCGGCTCTGTGTGCACAGCCTCGCCCCAGCGCGCGTCCTCATCTGTGAATGGCCAGGCCTCTGCTCCCAGCTGCCCTAGACAGCCCTCAGCCACGCGGGGACCACCCTTCCCCTTCAAAACCCAGCTGTGGCTCCTGTGCTCACAGAGCAGGGAGGGTGTGAAACCCAGCAGGTTCCCACAGGCCTGTGTCCCCCCCCCGCCAGGTCATCCCAAGGCAGTAGGTGCCTCCCTCCTGCACAGGGCTTTGTGAATGGCAGATAAAATGGCTAATTATCCAGCAGGAAGTACAGGCCTAACTATGGAGTCAAGAAAACCAGGGAGGGAGAGCCAAACGTGCAGCCTTCCTGCCGGAATTGGAGGAAGGGGGCCCCCAAACAGTATCACGCGGGGAGCAGCCCTGACAGTCATCAGACCAGGAGTGGACCCAGCATCACCGGGGGCCCTGACAGCATCCCTCGGCCCTGTGTGCGGGAGCACCCTCCACGGTCCCGGGGCGACGTTTCCTGCGGCACGCGGGCGCGTGTGTTCGTGCGTCCATGTGTCACAAAGCCACCTCCCTGATGTCATCTCCAGGACCCATCTTTTCGGCACCGATGTCGGGGTTAACCGCACACGGGGACGTCCCTTCAGGCTTCTCAGGGGGGAAATGGTTTCCCATGGGGCAGGCACGTACAAAGGGCACGTGTGCACTGCTTGGTGCAGATGGACAGAAGCGGGGGTCGCGGGCGGGATGATGGGCTGACTGACATTCAGCTGTGTTCACCTCATTTGTAAATGCATTGTTTCAATGAATTCTATTTCTCAGCTCATTTCAAATACCCACTTGACTTCTGCTCGTGTGCCTGCACTCCTGGGGCCAAGGGGTGCTGACGGAGCAGTAAGGCGTCCTCGGGGCTCGCCGGGCGAGGGGTGTCCGGCAGGAGAAATGCGAAGAGTGACCCCACGCTGGTCATACTGGGGGCAGGATCTTCCCAGGCAGGTCCGAGGCCACGTGGCCCCCGAGGCACCATGCTGGCCGTGGGAACAACCTTCCCCGTTTCTACCCCAAATCCGCCGCCCCTGGGGGTTCCGGCAGCTGTACTTCTCTTACCTTGTGAGCTTGGTCCAAGCACTGCTTTCTGTAGTCCAGCTCCTCGTCCAGGTAGCCCTTCTGTTTACTGAACAGCTCCTGAAACGCAAGAGGACCTGTGCCTGGGCCTGGCGCAGCCGACCTGGAGCGCGGGGCCGCGGGCCCACGTGGCCAGGTGCACACGAACCTTCTCGCTCTCCAGGTCCGCCATCCTCCGCTGCAGGGCCGACTCCGTCTCTTCGATCTGCCGCAGCCACTGCACACATACAACGGAAGGCACTCAGGCCGCAGCCACTGCACACACACAACGGAAGGCGCTCAGGCCGCAGCCGCTGCACACACACAACGGAAGGCGCTCAGGCCGCAGCCGCTGCACACACACAACGG